CTCCTATACTGGATCTACTGCAACAACATAAAACCATCTTGTATTCAGAAATCAACGATACAATGCACAGGTTTGTGTATATGAAACAATATTTGACCTTTACACAAAATTATCTGCCAAAATTTTCTCCACGTAGGATATAAATGGCTGCCAGATATCAAAGAATTCGTTTACAGATCCCCTAACAGTATATCTAATCTTCTCTAAGTCAATGTAAGACATAACTTCTCTTAACAATGACCATATACTGGAGGATGTGGATCCTTCCATCGAAGAAGAATGACCATATACTGGAGGATGTGGATCCTTCCATCGAAGAAGAATGAGTCTTCTAGCCAGTACATTTACATATTTCTCCAGCAAATTAACCTTTATCATTCTCTGAAATATACATATTGATCTGGCATTTTTAATCATCTTCCAGATTATTCCATAATTTAATTCCCTGGACTGAAGTACTCTGTTCCTTTAAAGTAGGTCTAACTTTAGGTCTCACAAACATCTCTATCCCCTTGAGATTGTAACAACTCCCTCTTTTAACAAAGTGTAATTGAATGTTTGAMGGTAATGTGTTTTTATGAGCCCRATACATGACTGATAAAATACCATAATCAACCAAATCATAGAGTTTCAAAAACTTCAACTGACGGAACAWTGAATTTGATCGGTGATAATAATGCTTTCTGGTGATCATTCTTACAGTTCTTTTCTGCAAAGTAAAAATAGAATTGGTAATTGTTTTACATGTTTTTCCCCAAACATCAATACAGTAGATTAAGAGTGGAACAATAATTGCATTATATAATATAAACATAGCTTTATCATTAAATAAATCCTTTACTTTGTACAATACTGCAATAGATTTAGCTATTTTTGTTCTTAAATGATTTATATGAGGTCTCCATGTCAGCTTCTATTCAATAATGACACCCAGAAACGTCATCTCACTGACTCTACAGATCTCAACGCCATCTACTCTAAATGGAACATCGACAGTTTTTTTTGTGTTACCGAATATTATATAATTAGTCTTATTTAAATTTAATGATAATTTATTGAGCTGAAACCAAGTTTGTATTTCAACAAATTCTGTCTGCATCACCACCAACATTTTAAAGGAATTTGTTGCCCGCCACCTTTTGTTTAACAACGATCATCTTATCATGAGAAAGAACACAGAAGTCAYGATTTATTTCAAATTTAAGGTTCTCACTCCTTTTTGAATACGTCAGCTATATAGTGTTCTATAGTTAATGTGCTTCCTTAGGTTTCTCTTTTAATATTGTGAAATATGTTATTTTGTAATAAGTGGGAAGGTATAATTGACATATTCAAAATAAACAAATAAAAACACCTTTTACATAGAAGTACACAGTGTGTCGGTAATAATTATCACAGTATTTTAGCTCAAGTGTAGACATTAGTTTTGGTGTGTCTCTTGAATTGGGTTGACTCCAAAAGGTTTATTTCCCAAACATTTCATTAATTTTTGTTCAGTGGCTCGTGAAATATTTTGCTAACAGATAAATGGAGTTGATTTTAATGATGGTTGAATGTCAAACAAAGATTTGCTGTGATCTGTTAGAGCTCAGAGCGTGTTGAGGATTAGCCTTAGCTGCTAACACCAGTTTTTAGCTCATTATCTGTAAAATCGACTCAYTTATAGACAGTTTTGTGTTTTTGGTTGTGGCAGCCATCTTGAATGTGTCCCACTCAAAAAGTGGATCATTTTGTCGATGAACGTCCAACTTTCTGCAGGTTTCATTAAAATCTGTGTGTGTTAAAATTGTGATTATGAATCTTGAAGCAACAAATAAAAACTGTTTCCTGTTTATTTTGTTTCCATCAGAAAGCATCGTCTATGTTGCTGACTTATAATTCTAATTGTAACGAAACTAAGCTAATTTTTCTTCTCATTAATCAGTCCAACTATTAGAAATGCAGGCATGATCAACAAAATAACAAGCTGTTACAATTGTTTTTATCTCTGTTATCTTAAGACCTTTTCTTTGTTATTCTTCGTGTTTGAATAAAACTGCAGACTCAGCAAGAGATAACTGAGAAAATGCACGTTTTTGGTTTGCATAAAGACCTTTGAACGCCCTGATTTCTTTATTTTGCTCTGAGTCCCTCGCCTTTTCTGCAAACAATCAAACACGAGAGAAATATTTGTGACCACGACGCAGGTTTAGGTGTGACATGTTTGGTTTAAAGGTCAAACAAAGGCCTGAGGAAATCCCACAAACAGAGCTGTATCAGTGTGTGTGTGTGTGTGTGTGTTGGTTATCAGGCACGGTCATATATGTGGACACTGGGCCAGCTGTATTGATCCTGATCCTGACAGGTGGAGGTGTGGTAGTGGAAGGGGCACCAGATGAGAGGAGGCTGATAACGGCGTCAACTGGTCCAGGTGTGCTCAGCTGAGGCGTGGGAGGCTCTGAGGCGACACCCAGCAGCCTCTCAGTGGGCCTCGTTCACTGAAGTCAGTCAAAGGTTTGACAGGAGGGCCCAGCTCTGGCCCACAGGGTGATCTGTAATCTTTACACAAGCAGGTAATGGCGTTTGATTGCTCGTGACTTTTTAAAAAATCAAACTTAAAGCATTTTGTAAAGTAAAAGGAAAACATATTTTATTCTAACATCACAAAAATGACAAAGAAACATGAAAAATGTCTTATTTTAAAAAGGACATAACTTTATTMAAATTATTGTCAAATTTTAAAATAAAGCAAAACAAGAAGAAAAGTTCAGTTTGATTTACTTTTTCCACTTTATTTAATTACATTTTTTTGCCATTCCTCAATTTCTCCACATTTCATAATTAATCTTTGATTCTTTTACAGTTGTTGCTTTTTAAACTCAGTTTGCTCAGTATTAGTGGATTTGTTTGTTTTATAATTTATATTCGTGTTCATCATGTTGCTTTTCGCCATATGAAAAGTGCTTAAATAAAGTTTGACTGAAGAACAAGAGACTCAAAATAAATAATAAAGTGACACAAACACGATCCAAAATAACCTCACAAACATCCACAAATTGTTGCAAACCCACATAAAAATGACACAAAACTAGAGAAATCTTCAAGTTTCGTGAAGCAATTGCCACAAAAATGTTACATTTATTTTTATAAATCTGATGCTAAAATGTTAAATGATCTAAAAGCAATTTCAAAATGAATCAAAAATAACTTAAGAATCAAAGTAGGATGAGACAAATCTACAAAATAACTATATATGAGAAAAAAAACAGTAAAGAAAATAATTAAAAAGGACTTAAAATGACCATAAGAACACACAATAAAACAGTCAGAAAATGTATTTTAACAATTTTTTTCTTGACTTAATTTCTGTGAACATGTAAAAATAAATATTTAAACGAACAGCGTCCATCTTGTTTTGTTTTTTCACCTTATTAAATATGTTTATGTGTCACTCAGATTATTGATTAGTGAATGATTCACTTTCAAACAGCAGCAAACTGCAGCTTTGAGGTTTAGTTTCCTGTTTGTTGTCTAGACCGGATCTCACCAGTTTCTGTAAACAATAAATCCCAGCTATCAGGGAGAAATATTGGTGGAGCGATAAGATTAGGATTAGGGTGGTAAACTCTGCTGGATGCAGACAGTCAGTCGCCTTTCTTCCTGCCAGTCCACAACAAAAACCAGCCGACGTTTTGCATCAATGAAAGTGGAAGAAACACTTGAACATCTGTGGACCTTTGTGGCTTAAATCTGATTTCCAGCCAATTATACCCCACTAACTATTCGTATGACTCTGCAGACAAATCAATAAGAAAAATTCCCAAACATTATTTTGAAATATATTCAGTTTAAATCCAATAAGGCAAAACTCACCCCTTTTTTCCTCTTTAAATGGTTTGTTCCAATAAAATAAATGAGGCTCAGGTGAGTGGGTGGTTGTGGGTCATTGAATGTCCTGTCTTCTGACAGCAACACCTGACGCCTGCTGTTAAAGATGGAGGAGAAGAAGTTACATAATCAACACACTTATGTTTGCACTTTTCTGGACTGTAAAGCTGCGTTCAGTAAATCATGGCGACTAGAAGCTCATTTATGCAAACACACAGGACTGGTAAGCAGCTGGYGTGCACAAAGTCAAATCAAACATGAATCTGTTGAATGAAGTGAYGTTCAGTTTGTCCTGGAGTGATTTCATGTTTCGTTTTGACGTTAGAGACCACACTCTTGTGAGAGCTGTGGCAAGAGCTTCTGCTCACGCTACCAACTCTCCGGGCAYGAGCTGAGCCACAGCCGAGAGGAGCCGCACAGGTAAGCCACGTTCGTGTTTCAAATTATCGTGGAAAGTAAACATTGAAAAGCTTGTTCTGCTCTTCAGGTGTTCGGCTGGAGGACGCTCCGAGGCCTTGGTCACATCTGCCAGCATGAAGAACCACGTGGACCGAGTCCACCAGCACCAGGGGAAGAGATATCAGGCAGAGCAATCCCCCTTTTAAAAAATCTTTTATTTATTGTGCCGTTCATGTGAACAGTAGTCCTGAGGTGCTTTTTGTTACTGTTYAGTGTGACCATCAGGGCTGCGAGCAGGATTTCAACAAGAGAAACAAACTAAAAGCTCACAAGACTGAACAYGGAGATCCGTCGCCTTTTCAGTGAGTCGACGCTCTGCAGGTGAGTGAAAACAAGAAATGTTTGTAACCTTTTTCTTTTGGGATGCAGTTGTGCTTTTAGTGGCTGCACAAAAGAATTTTCCACCCAAGGACAACTGAAGCATCATGAGAAAATGCACGAAGGTTAGATGATTCAAATATCCTTTTTTTTCTCCTTACTGTGTTTATTGAATATCCAGATTAAAACCTTTACTTCTGGTTCTGCAGGTTACCCATGTGGTGTTGAGCTGTGTCCTTTCTGGGGGAAAACATGGACAGAGTACCTGAATCACAGAGGACAACACAAAGGTACTTATTTGTTTTTTGTCCCAGCAGGATGCCCATTTTAACCACTCTTCCCCTCAGCTCAGATGTGTGAGCGCTCTCAGAAGAAAAGGTCCTACTTGTGCACCAGAGAAGGTTGTGACAAGAAGTTCAGTYGCCTCTTCAGACTGAAGGACCACGAACTGGGAGAACATGAGGGGGAGAAGCCCCTCAGCTGTCCTGAWTGTGGGGAGAGCTTTGCTGTGACGGTAAGAGCAAATTAAGTTTATTCACAAAAAACTCCCAAAACAAATGGCGTCCAACAATTCAGATGGTTCCTAAATACACCAAATGTTACTTTGAGTGACCGTACATGCATTTAAACCATTCAGTTGGGGTCTATATAAAGTGGAACTGCATTGTTTTGGTTTGAATTCCTCCTTATTGTAACACCACAAGCCCCTCTTTCACCTTTTTTCTGAGGCATGTCTCAGATCAACTCATTTTGAGGCTGTCTCTTTAAATCTAAATAATGCGCTTCATGCCCCACCCCCTCAAGCTTCCAAAGCAGTCCATTCCAGTTTAGGAGAGGGGTTCACAACTATAAAGCAGCTCAAACTTATTTACAAATTAATTAAAAGACAACAAGGGAAGACTTGTCCATCCAGCCTTACATGATGGAGCCAAAGTCTGACCCAGAGAAAATTGTAGTTTTTATATAGAAATTCAATGGGATATAATTTTAATGTTATCATTCAGATACATAAAAGAATAAAGAAAACTGAATGAGTCGAAAAATATGATGCAAACAGAATATAAAGCAGCACAATGAGACTAAATGCAACTTTTCTGCACTCCAACTRTTAAAAGGTTTTCCCATTTTGTATTTAAGGTTGCGCAGACAATATATACAAAGCAAGTGATGCAAAATGATAACAGTTTTGGGTGTTAAATTGTTACCTGTCATTTATCAGGAAACCCTGTTGCGACACGGCAAGGTGCACAACCAAGCAGTGACAAAGGTCTCCCTAAGCTTCTTAAATAGGATTGTTTTTCACTTCTATGCATAATGTGTTTTTTATTTTTATTTTTTTCCCTTCCAGAAACGACCTCACAAAAAGGATCAGGCAGCTCAGCTCGTACAGTCGGCTGCAGCCAATAAAGAAGAAACAAACAACCTTTCTACGAAGCTGAAGAATACAGCTTTAGAGGATAACGGCTCATGATGTGTTTGAAAACTGAAACTATCAAACGTTTCAGTGTTTTGCAGTGACTAAAGCATCATTAAAAACCTTGCACTATGTTTTCATTGTTCAGTAATTTTAAATTCAAACGCACTAAACTAGGTTTCAACCGTCTTTATTTCCAAACCTTTTCCCTTAAATCCTTAAAAGGGGTGGTTCTAGAGGCATGGCCTGACACTTGATTGACCACCAGGCATCATCCCCAAAAAACTGACACACGAAAGGGGATCTTGGATTTTGTATTTGCATTTAGATTTTTGATACTTCTGTGTATACATTTTCAGGTGTGTATCTTTAAAAATGGGTGAATTAAATCCCTTTGTAAAATTAGCACTATGGTTAGTTTACTTTAAGCAATCGACTACTCCGCAACAAATGTAATCCAAGTCTTAAATGRCTGAATTAAATCATCTCAAGGTTGGCTGTGGTGGCCATAKTGAATTTTTGATTACTTCTCTTCAGCTTTGTATGTCTAAAAATAGCTGAATAAGTTGTGACTAGCATTCACCATCTTTGCTGTGATTGAACAACATTTTGTCTCAATAATAATCCATTTATCCATCTTSCGCTTTATCTGAAGTTGGGTCACGGGGGCAGCAGCTTGAGTAGGGAAGCCCAGACCTCCCTTTCCCCAGCCACCTCTTCTGGGAGCACTCCAAGGTGTTCCCAGGCCAGCCGAGTGATCTCACCAGCATGTCCTGGGTCTTCGTTGGAGTCTCYTCCCAGTGGGACATGCCTGAAGCACCTCCCTAGGGAGGCATCCTTACTAGATGCCCAAACAACCTCAACTGGCTCCTCTCGATGTGGAGGAGCAGCGACTCTACTCAGTCTCTCCTGAATAACTGAACTTCTTACCCTGTCTCTAAGGGAGAGTCCAGTTACACCGCAGAGAAAACTCATTTCGACCGCTTGTATCTGCAATCTTTTTCTGTCACTACCTAAAGTTTGTGACCGTAGATGAGGGTAAGAACGTCAGACTGATCGGTAAAAAGAGAGCTTTGCCTCACAGCTCAGCTCAGTTTTCACCACAACCGACCGGTACAGAGTCTGCAAAACTGCGGAAGCTGCACCGATCCGTCTATCAATCTCACGCTCCATTCTTCCCTCATTGGTGAACAAGACCCCAAGATACTTGAACTCCTGCACTTRAGGCAGAACTTCACCCCCAACCTGGAGACAGCAATCCATGCTTTTCCGACTGAGGACCATGGACTCAGTATTAAAAAMAMAAACAAACTTRAAGCCATTTGGAATTGGCTGTGGAAACCATCTTGAGTTTTTAAATCCAGAGTGCTTTTGTTTGTGCCCCCCTCCCCTTAAAAAAAGGCCACCCCTTGCAAAAGTCTAGCTCCACCCCTGAAAAGAAATTGTTTCCCACAAAACTGCAGTATTGACATAAGATGCGTTACAAAAAGTGGGTTCAGGATTATACAAAATGTGTTCAGATTACTTCATATGGACACCTGAGGGTGTCGGAAAACTAAGATTCTGAAGATGAAAAGTTAAAATTAAACTACCGGTAGTTTGAATGTAGTCTCCCTAAAGCTTCAAATTGATTGGTTTGGAAAAAAAAGATACATCTTCTACTAAAATCAATTTTATTGAAGCTCTACTCATTTTGTTTAAAAAGAAATTCTTTATTCCTCACCCTTTAAGGACACTTCAACACCCCACTCACAAACGAGACTCTGATTCTTAAAAGGAAATGTTTATTACAGAAAACACATTCACACATGTATAAAAGACCAGTTGACGGGGCAGCTGGTTATGATATCTGAGGGCCGATGAGCCCCTCAGGATGTGGCAGGTTTCTAATAAGGCCTGAGGCTTATTCAGATGGACACATCCCAGCAGAACGTCTGGATTAAAGTGACTTCAGCCTGTCTGAAGGATCAGATAACGTCCTCCCCGCCCCGCAGCGATGTCTCCATCCGAATACAACCCTGGGTTCTACAACTGCTCGGTGAGGTGAAGACAGCACGAGTCGCTTGTTAGCAGTTGCAGTACCGTTCTCCCAGTGGGAGCAAAGACAACATGACCATATGAACACAGCAGTGCTTCTCGTGAGTGCAGTCTGTCGAGTGACGTGGCACGATCTGGATCGGTTCAATCCTGGTCAGGAGGAAGCTTGATCCTGCTGGGTCTACAACGGTTCTGAATGCTTTTGGTCCTGGATTAAGCCCGATATGGAGCGATGTACAGTAGCATGTACCAGTTCACTTTGGCCAAGGTTGTTCCCGATATAGAGCACTCCGGGTGGACTCGGCGGAGCGGACAGCCTGCTGATTTTTGTCCCGGTTATACCAGACTGCCGGGCCAGGAGACCACAGTAAGAGCCACCCGGCTGCGCTGCTCTTTCAGCATGGGAACCAGCGCCGAGTGGCTCATCCCTGCTGTCGACAGGCCGTTAACCGCCACTATCAAGTCACCACACCTAGAACAACACAGAGTGATGGGTCAGCAGGAACGTTGAGGATTAGAATAAGAACCAGAGGCAAAGACAAACCTTTGAAGCACAAAATACTTGAAGTTATAATGAATATAATCAAATCTTTAGTATGTCTAAAATGGAAAAAATCTATCATTAGATGAACACAATCCAAAATACAGAAAGCTTTTCACAGTTTTTGACAATGTTGAAGGTCTGTGTGAAATACGGTGTAACTAAAAACTGTAATTTACTGTTTTAATCATTTGGTATATAT